TTCACACTGTGCTGGTGTATGGTTTCTGTGTGCTGGAAGCCACCCATTTCATCCCAGGCAGTAACAGGTTACTGCTTCCCTGAGCCCTCCAAAAGTTACTGCAAACCTCAGTCCATTCACATTTGTTAAGGGTTGAGAAGTGCAGTTCAAAGACCAAAGCAGATTTAAATGTATACACATGACTATATATACACTACATACACTGTTAAACAACAGTGAATGATCATAAATGTGAGCAACTGCTCGTCAGTTCACTTTCTGATGCCTTTCTGCAACCCATTTTGCCTTACTGATACTTTAAAATCTGAATTTCAAGTGGTAGCTCTTGTATAGCACTTGTACATTCAGGCTCTATGGTTCCCTACAGACAGCCCAGAGTTACAAACTCCCAGGGACTTGAGCACCATTAATCACAAGTATACTTGCAAGTTGATAGCCTCTGGTCAATAAAGCTACAGGGATGAAAATAAGGTTCCTTTTTTGTCTATGATGTGAAGGTGAGCATACTGGCAGGTACCCCAAAACAAAACAAAAGCTGAAGAATTCATCATAAGTATTTCATCAACAATTTGTCTTTGGTGGATTTTCAACTCAGAATTAAGAGGAATCTATGGAGCAGCTCTACATTGCTTGGAACAGTGTATTTTCGGGTTGTTCCTCCTGACAAAACAGTACCCTAGTGCTTTTGGGCTGTAAAAACTGGAGTGGTTTTGTACAACACCAAGATACTAACTTTGGACCGAGTCCAGTGTGGTTGTTACTAATAAGTAATGTATAACATATGTCAAAGCAAGGACTGTCAAATCTGGCTGGCAACTACTCACATCTCAATCGTATAACTTGGCAATGTGGGCGGGTTTTCCATAATATAAAGCAATTCCCATCAACTGCAGATTGCACCTCACAGAAGGCTCAGTGACAAGCAGATGCCACTCTCGCTATTCATCTGGAGACATGTAACAGTACGTGAACAGAGTAAAGAAATGAGCTGTGATTCCAAACAAATGGTTTCCTTTACCTGGCACCAGAGGCAATACAGCACTGCAGAGTGTGCTCACCTGGCAGGTACCACAGGGCCCAACAGTTGCATAGCCTTGAGACCCCACAGTCGTGTGGACAGCAGCTCATCACACCTCATCTGCAGCAGGCAGTGCAGGTTTACCTGTGTAACCCCTTTCCCTTCCAATTCTAGTTCCTTTCCTTACAATGAATAGTTTCTTATTGCAAACATTGTTCCAAGTATGTTAGTGAAAAGACCATCCCTGACAGATACAGGTTTGCACCATTAACAAGTTAAAGGGAAAGAAAAAGAACTCACACGGAACAGACATTTACAAGGCTTTTATCATTTGGCCAAAGAGCAAAACAGGGTACCAGGGAAGCAACTTCAAAGGTACCTGCAGGGACAAAACTGCGCTTGGAATACTGCTAATGTTTAACACCTTGCTCCAGGATGTTCTCATCCACCACCTTGTGAGGGAGAGTCACCTTCAGACTGGCATTCTCCTTCATTGCTTGGCAGATCGTTTCATAAGCATAGTCATTACCCGACCAGCAGCGCCTGGCAACCTGCCAGACCAGAAAATCAATGGGCGTAAAAATCATACGTTGCTCTTGCCACATCCATCTTGCACAATACTTGCGCAAACACCGGCGCCCAATTTCATAGCAATAAATCTTTCAACCAGTTTCTAGCTTCCTTACTGATTTGGGAAGTCATTTTTGTAATATCTACTTCATTTTTAGGAGCACTCTTTGGGTAGACTTGGTACATTTTCCCGCAGAAACATACCATTGGACGGGTACACTGGTAGGGTCAGGTACCCTATAAACTTTGCAAAACTCTCTCACTAAAAATCATTGTGCACTCAATCCCAGCTCTGTAAAACTAGTACTTGCTTTAGAGGAAAGCGTCATTTAAGCAACTGATGCTTTTTGTAATGGGAAAAGGCAAGCAGGAATTCTGCAGTTCTCTTGAGAAGTAAACCAGAACAGATCATATTAGTATTGGCAAGGAACTCCCTCAATCCATCAAGTCCTTGTGAGGTTACATGGCTGAAACACACCAGGTCTTGTCCTTTAATTGGGCTGTGCATCACTATGTCATGTTTGTGATTTGGTTCCCTGCAAATATTTAGTCAAAACCTCTCTGCCACTTCAGAGATGTGATCCTAGTCTTAAACCCAGGCAGAATCTATCTGGAAGGCAAAAACTCTAATGGTAGAGCAGGGGCTGGATGAGCTGGTACTTAAATGACAGGCCTTCCAAGATACCTAGATCTAGAAGTTTGCAATAGACAAGACTAAAGTTCATACAGTTGTCAACTGTATTATGTAGGCAAATAACAATGGCAGCATGTCTAACAAAGTTACAGTAAGCGTGCTTCCCCTTCTGCTTAAAAAAGAACAAAACACACACTGAGATGTGGGAATTATTGGGCTCCAGTATGTTGTAAAGTCAGAAGGGGTGGTCCCAACACTTTACAATGAGTTCCTTACCAAGGAATTATTCAGCCACTTTTAGCACTTAAAGTCCTTTGAAGTTGGATGGAGAAAAAGAAACCCAACCAAACAAAACAACTCATTGATTCCAGCAGAATCAGGCTCATAACCACCCATATTAGAAGCAGGAATAGGATTAGTCTCTTGGCCCATTAGGGCTATTCCTGGGGTACAAAAGCCAGATGCTAAAAATTCCTGCTTGAGTGCTCATATTCCCTATTCAGTTGAAAAATCCAAAAAAAATAGGAGCACTGGAACCCAAGTACCTAAAAACATAGTCCTGGATGCAGGAAAATCTTAAAGTGAACATATATAATGAGTTTTGCTTACTCCATTGGACACATCCCAGCTGAGCATCATCTTCGCCCGTTCTTCAGCCTCCTTGGACCCATCCAACACCAGCCCAAATCCTCCATTGATCACTTCACCCCTAGAAAATAGAAATGTAAGAGAATTAAATCAAAATCATTCAAACCAATCCCACAAAACTCACAGGAGGTGGTTTGTTCAGTTGCAGTGCAAGGATGAGAACATGGAAACGATGCTGAATAAAAAACACCGTCAGTGACCTGGTTTACACACACACACAAAAAGGGGGGATTTAAGAGAGCAAAGACCTCATTTCCTGACATGCAGCAAACCTATTCCACTTGTAATGCCCAGCTAGCAGCCAGCATCTGCTCCAAGCAGGGGTGCCAAGCCAAGCTTGTGCTGCATCTCCCGAGGACTGTACTTGGTGTAGAAACAGAGAGAAAGGTTAACCCTGCTGATGGGAGAGTAACCTATCTCGGGGTATTTCAAATATTAAGCTGTTCATTTGCTACACTAAAGCCTGCCACATAGATAGGATCAGGAGGAGGACTGTACTTACTGAAGCAGACAGATGGATCTATTTATATTCTCCTGAGACAAATGAGAGAGCAGAAGAATCTTATTAAAAAAGTGTTAACCACCACTTAATGCACATCTGCCTCGATCCTTTCCAAAACAGCCTTCACTTTGAATGAGACACATAGATGTTTAAAGACATCAGTGCCAACATTACAGGAAGCAGACTTATTGGCAGAAGAAGAACAGAAATATGTTAAAACTAACAGAGTATACTTGGGAGAAATACCAGTCTGGTTTTTAAAGGACAGGGAAAACACGTAGAGCAGAACATCTTGTCTGACTTCAGAGCCTGCTCGAGTTCCCGTTTCATTGCATATGGTGAATAGCAGAGAATGCAGTTGGATCATTATCCACTGCTGTAAATCTATGAGAGTTCTGGTGTCATAATTAAGCATCTGCCATGCCTGAGGGATGGGGCACATCATACAACCTCTGTGGTATGAGAAACTACCCATGGAGATCCCTGGAAGCAGGATGTTGTCTTCTGTGCTTTATAGTTAATACAATAAGTTTGCAAAGTGTACATAGAATAACATCAGACATATCCATGTATCAGACAGGAGATAGGTGTCTTCCGGTCCAGGAAGGAATAGTTTCTTCCTGTACATTTTCCAGCAATAGCTTCTCTGGAAATGGGGAAATGAGGCTACATCAGAGCCTCACACACCTGAGATCTACTCCCTCAAACTAGAACTCACATATGCTCATTTTCAATGTAATGTTGTTACTTATGTGATGTTAATTGCCTTTTACTAGTTACATACACTACCCTGTGTGCTAAGTAGGACCCTATCAATAGCTGAGCAAGGAACTTACTGCTCCAGTTCTCCCCATCACGGTGCCATTCTGTGTATACCCTCCACTTTACCATTTTTAGAGATATCATTATTACAAACACATTTCTTTTGAAAGGCAGGTTTCTTGCAGCTGACAGTTCTCACAGCAGAATGTCACTGACTGAAGCAGTTTCTTATCTTTAACAGGAAAACTGGAAACAAAGTCATGTTTTCAATTGAGATGTTTAAATATTTTAAGCTCTGACTCTTTAAAATACTGTCAACACTTTTCAACCTCAAATTTAACTCCCAGGATCTTATTAGTGTGCAAAATTTTTCATTAGTTACATTCTGAGTCTCGTTTTGGGATGAAAACCATCTAAACATCTGCATTTCTTGCAAGTTCTGCTTTGTGAATAGCTCATGTTGTTGCTGTTTTCTCCAAAAAAGGGGCACAGACTGGATGACAGCATTCAGATGTAACTGGGTGAAGAACAGGGCCAGTTACCTCACCATGCTCTGTTGCTTCAGCGCAGACATTAAATTAGGACTGTCCTTTGCTGTCAAAGTACCGTGCTGGAGTACGCTTATGAACATCACTGATGCCACTGTAATGTAATTGGGATCATAGGGTGATCACACCTCAAAACAGCCTGTTGGCAATATCTGACAAGAAAACCAGGCTTCTGGAACAGTGCTTCATAAAGCTATTCCATACAGGTGGATGATGCTCTTTCGGTGGCAAAGATTCCCTCTGCACACAGCATCCCAAAGAGCATCCTTTGAAGCTAAAGCATAAACAGTGAGCATCTGATCTCACTCCATAAATTTAGAGCCTCTCCATTGATTTCTGTGGTGTTACTCCAGTGTAAATCAGAATCACCCATCAGAATCTGTCCTCCTGTCTAAAAATCACTCATAAATCAAGCGCCAATGTTTGTTAGGATGGATTTTCTAGCACAACCTCTCACTTTTAAAGGCAAGCTCTAGGCCTTCATTACCATTGGGTCACATTTTCAGGTAATTAAAGAAACATGTGACATTTTGACCTAAGCTACCTCCTATAATTTCCAGATGTCTCCTTCTAAGGTGATCAAAGAAATCAAGGCCTCTCTCACAATCAAGATGTCACACTGTCAGCAGTGCAGTTTCATACTGAGATTGCTTCTGCCTTTTTGTTACTACAGGTTACTCAGGCTCCAAGCTAATGTAAATCCCCCTGCAAGTAAACAGGCAGCAAGAAATGAATAACATTCATTTGCTGTAACTAGAGTCAAGACTGCTAATCTTAAGTCTCTCAAACAGCACATGTGATGCAGATTCCAGCTAAATAAATATTAATCCTGCTTTTTCTGTTTGTTCCATAAGGCTATAGCACAGAAAAAACAAGGCAGGTAAAAGGCACTTCTCTAGTCTCACAGGGACAACATGGCAGCAGAGAGTAATTTGTTATGCTTGGGGGTTTGTTTTGCTGCTTTCACCACCTTTAAATTATTCCTCTCTTCCTCTTGTAGAAGACAAAGGGCTGTAGCCTTTAACTAGCCAGGGTGGTACCCTGATGAGTTAAGCCAAGCAGAGCCCCCTGTTGTGCCACAGGTCTCCAGACCCCAGCATCTAATGACACAACATTGTCACCACCTCTTGAGTCTCAGCATGGTGGCTTTGTAAGGCCCATGCAGAGATAGGCTCAATTTTCAGACTCTGCATTCCTCACAGAAGCACAGTGATTTAAGCAGGGGGCTATGTTTGCTCCTGAGAACAAGGTAAGCAGATATTGTTCCACAGTGACAAGCTGCTAAGCAGCCATAGGAAATGTCAGAAAGGATAACTAAATCCTTGTTTTCCATTGATACTTCTGTTTCAAGGAATAGCCACACACTAATTTCTGATGTATCACATAAATCACAGCACCTCTGCTCTGCCTTGGGAAGGGCTTCCCTCCAATGATGTAACTCCACCCAAGAAACAACTCAAACAATACAACTGAGATTGCAGAGTGGTCAGTGCCCACCTTCCAGATGTAAAGGGCAGTCTCACCATTCAGCCAGTCGCTCTTTGAATTGCTCAGAGGGCTGGAAATGTGCAGGAAGAATTGGCCTTACAGAAACCAGAGAGAGAGGGAATACAACCATTTGTGTCTTTGAATTAAGCATCATCAATGCACAAAACATTTGTGGCAGAAGCAATTCTAGTCATTATAGTTATCATTAAAATACCCCAAATATTCTGCACAACATGTAGCAGAAAGTTATTTTCTTTGCTGGTATTTCATAAGCAGATATTTTAAGAGGTTAAACTCAGCTAAGGCAATTCAGGCAGAACTAGTCTGCTGCTGGAGTCTGTGATGAGCAGAGTAGGAAAATATTCCACCATGTATTTTCCATTCAGAACTGTGGAAGTTGTAAATAAAATCCTGGCCATGGTGGGTATTATCACTGAAATCAGTAAAGGCAGATTTTTACTCCATGTGTCTAAGCCCTCAGAAAGTTTTCTTACCCCATCATTCAATTCTGCTCTCATGTATCTGCCATTCACCAGCTACTTCACTGAACTCAAAGGAATCGGAGTACAGCTGAGGGAATTCTCCATCTGACTCGAAGGGATATTTTCTAGATTCAGCTCATCCAAATGAATAACTATTAAGTATCATCAAATGTCTCCTTGGATAACATCTGCTACAAGTTCTTTGGCTTGCTGTTGGCATAATCCAGAACTGGTTAGACCAGGGAAGTGTGAGGGTTCACTACAGTATTTAACAGAGGGTTGTGCCCCTTAGGACTGGTGACACCACCAAATGAAAACTTGACTTTCCAACCCTCACCATTCTATGATCATAAATGGGAAAGACTTTGTTGGACTATGCAGGAAAGATCAAACCAGAACCAAAGTCTCTGCAGTGTGGCCAGGCTCTCCTTTCCCCTACATCTCTGCCAGTCCAGAGTAACCTTTAGTGGCATATGAAGGAGATGAGTTTCTCTCTCCATATATAATATTTTCTTCGTTCTGCTTCTCAGCCTAGGCCTTTCTCTTGGCTCTGCATCTGATGTGAAAGAGATGTTTAATCCAGTCCTTACTTGTCTTTTATCCTACCAAGCATGAGCAAGGAGACAAAGACTGGGGGTTTGCTGGCACCTGAGCTGGTTTGTATCAATAACCCCTCATTACGCTTTAGCACATGAGCGTTTATATTGGGGTCTTAAGGTCACAGATTCAAATACAGCTTAAGAGAAAACCTAAACACAATCCATCCACTAGCACTCTGGCTGTGCATGTGTGAAGACAACTTTGGAAGCAGGATCTGTTCATAAAGACCATGGCAGGCTGTCCTTGTTTGGCAAATTAAGTTCCTCAAACTGAGCTGTGGCCAATGTCCAAAACACTTTTTGGAGACATATGGGCATTGATTTAAAAAGCCTGATACAATATCACACTTTGCATTATGATACATCCTTTCAGCCCTCGTTTCCAAGCCCATCCTTCCCATGATCACGACCACTCCAGTAATACATCTTTCCTGCAGTTCCTCTCCTGCCTCTCCTCCCCACACATGTACACAGCAGTAGTAACAGGACCCAGAGCCCAGCTTTAGAAACATGGATAAGTTCTTACCAGCCAACTCCACCACCGTTGTGCAGCGCAACCCAGGTTGCTCCTCTGAACGCATCTCCTACAAAGTTCTGTACTGCCATGTCTAGGAGAGGAGGAGAGGAAAGGAAAAGCGTTATGGATCTGATGTGCTGCATTCAGGTTGTTGTTGTGCTGCTCAATTCTTCCACCGACACCTTGATTATCATGGAATGGCTTTTGTTGGAAAGGGCCTTAAAGCTCATCCAGTTCCAACCCCTGCCCCGGGCAGGGACACCTTCCACTAGAGCAGATTGCTCCAAGCCCCTGTGTCCAACCTGGCCTTGAACACTGCCAGGGATGGGGCAGCCACAGCAGAGATGCTCCAGCCTTCTGATCAACTTCATGGCCTCCTCTGGGCTCAGTCATGCAAGAACAGAGGCTGGACACATCCACATGGAGGGTTTCAAAACTGGAGGGCCCGCCTGTAAAACTACACACCTTGCAGTTCTCAGAAGTATTTTCAGATCAGACTGCAGAGTTAATTCACCTTTGTGCAGAAGCCAGTTGAAAGCTAAGGAGCTGCATTTTGGGGACAAAGCTGGGATAAGATATACACCGGCCCTGATTCTCTGGACATGGGGGAACTTTAATCCAAACATGAACTGTTGAAATAACACAGGAGGATTCATTTGTTTAAAGAAATGAAGAAAAAGAATTTAGCAGACAAATGTAATTTGACTAATGACAAATGCATGATTTCCACTGAAATTCACTAGAGTTTTGTATATTGACCACACTTTGTGCTAAAGCATAAACCCAGAGATGTGAAAAGAGATGCAACTCGGAGGATAACAGGGTAAAACTGAAAACATTTGTCCAGATCTAATTCAGGATGGATTTAACACATAATTTGCTGTGCTTTTAACAGCAAAAAATGAGACAAACAACAATATCCCCACCAGCCACATTCACAGCCCCACAGTTACGTCTCTGATGGAAAAACGAGTTTACTTGAGCACTAAGCTATGTTAAACCCTGTCAAAAGCCCCATTATGGCATCTTTTATCTGGCATTATGTCACTTTAATAACCCAATTATCATAATTACACTGCTGTCAGGAGGGAGTGGAAGAAATCAAAATCCCCATATTCTATAATGTACAGATTTCTTCCTCAGTCACTAGTGTGAGAAGAGTGGAGGTTCGACAAGGAGATGGCAAGTGAACTAACACTGCAGCAACGTGCTGCTCCTTGGCTTTGATAAAGGTCACTAACTGCAAATGTCTGTGCTGAAACACTTTGCAGAACAGCAATGACCCCTATTTGCCAAGGATCAGACTGAGGAACTTACTGTAAAACACAACGAGACAGGCAAATGCTCTGGAAAATTCCTGTGTGCTACAGAGGAACCAATTTTGCCTGAACCAGCTCAAATGTGGTGTTAAAACAGGAAAGAAGGCAGAGAGGAACACCTAAGATGGTTGGACTTGATGATCTTAAGGGTTTTTTCCCTTAACCTAAAAGATTCTATGTTCTTTTATTACCTCCAGTAGTTCATCATCTGGTAAAACAGGCCTGGTTTCAAAGACCACTGAAATCAGTGGTCAACAGGCTTTAGATAAGCCCTTGAAGATGGCAAATGGTTCATGCAAACCACAAAATGCAAAGAAAAACACACAGCACGATGAGCAATGGGGTTTAGTAAGCCTTGTTTCTACTGCCCTAAGGTGGAGACCTTACTTTGGATTGCTGTTCTCTGTGCAGCTGCACCATTTTCTCACAGCTTGCCAGAACCAAGCATTATTCAAGGCATCTATCTGACCTATTAGAATGAGCCAACAGGCTCAAGAAGTGTTGAAGTGGGACTGATAGGCATGGCTAAAAGCCTCATTTCATCAGGAGATCCAGTTGTGATAGCAGGGAACTTTTCTTCTTATAATTGAGCCATAATTTGGTTCTATTATGAATTGCCATAATGGAAGTAATTCAATATACTCAGCTACCTCTACCACAATATCTCCTTCAAGAGCAGCTTGTAGCCTCCTGTCTCACACCACTTTGTGATTGTCAGTTCATGACATGCAGGAACACTAGTGGGCGAAAGCTATTATCATCATTTCCACTTTATGGATGGAAAATTGAGGAAGATTTAGCTTAGAAATTGCTTAGTACTTCACTCATTTTTTCAGGTCTCCAATCTGATATTTCTTGGGTTAATTTCTCTAAAGCATCATTTCATCAACTTAAAAGCAGGGTCTGGTTAGCTCAGGGCAGGAGTGCAGATTTAAAGGCACCTTTTGTATAGCAAACCTCCGTGATTTGCCCACAGTCACACTGTAACTGAGCAGCAAGGCTTGGAGTTGAACTCAGAATGTTTGTGTTCCTTTCTGATGCTTTCACTATCAAAGTATGTTCCCTTATGATAAGAAAAGTTCCTTTCAGAAACCCCAGCCTGTTTTCCAAGTCCTCAAGCAATGAAATTAACACATCTGTGAATCTTTTTGCTCTAAGCATAATACTATTATAGAGCTAATTCCTTGTGGATCCCAAGGAAATACATCTGTAATTCTGCTCGGATCCCCTCTTTGAAACAATGAGGTGCAAAGTCAAATGGAAGATAGAGTCCTCGGGCAGACTGCTCTGCATTTGCATCTAGGTAAACCTGGTGCATCTTCATTGAATACTCAGCACTTTCCTGGACCTCTCCTATTTAAGTATCTCCACATTCATCCCTATCACTGTCAAATCCCACAAACCTTCTCAGGAAATCTGATTAATTGGGATTAAAGGGTTAAATAAAAGCATTTTAAAAGTTTTGCATAAACCCCCAGTTTCTCTTGTAAAGCAATTCCCTCGTTTGCCCGGACAGACAAGCCTCAGCTGCTCTGCTGACCTGCACAAAAGGCTGATCCATCATAGATGTTTGAGGTTTCTCTGTAAGGACTGTCAGTCCCACTCACATCGTGGTGATCTCGGCTCAGGACTACTGGAGCCTGCAAAAAGCCAAGGACAAGCGAATGGAATCCTTCATTTGCTACCCAGGATGATCATTTGCTGAATTTACTTCTGTCTTCAGGCATTTCAACCCTCAGCTTTGCCCCTCTCCTAAACCCCCTGAAACACCTTCTCTGCCTGTTATTTACTATAAACCAGTTGTTCACATGCTGTTCATGAAAGCCACGTTCCTTCCATAACTAAGAACAAGAGCTTCGTTTTATGCCAGTAGCATCCTCAAAGGAGGGCAGGGAGAAGAGGGGCTGCCATGATGTCATTTCATCTGAGCATTTCTATGCTGAAATATCAGAGCCATTTCAGCATGCAAAAATCATTGAAAAGTAGTTCTTGTTTGCTGCTGAAAATGAAAACTATCAGATTTTCACACTATTTTATTATCTTGGGAAACTTCAAGACTAAAAAGAAGTTAGGAGTGAAAATCAGGGATTTCATATGGCTCGAACAGGTCCATTCTTGATCTGGAATTTAGGTGACACTATGAAACTAGATCAGCTTCCAGGTCATCATTTGCCATGCATGAGGTTTATACAAGAATAATTCACTCTTGGCATGGTGTGGTCTGGAATTAGCTGGCTCTGGTTTATGCTGGCAGTGAATTAGGACATCACTGAAAATAGACACGAGCACCCAGCTTGCAAGAAGAGGAATGGAGATTTACAGAAACACAGAATGGACACAACTAAATCCAAAGGGCCTGGGAGTGTGACCTGGTCAGTCAAAGCTCCAGGGGAGTGCTCAGTCTGGTCAGGTTTATTTTTTGAGCCTAGCTTGCAGTGACGTTCATTTTGAGTCCTGAGAAGGTCAACAGCATTTGAAATACTTCAACAAGCATTTTCTGAGTAACAAAAAGCAGAATGCATTCCAGCCAGGAAAGGTCTGAGTTTTACATGAGTTCACCCCTTCAAAATGGGTAATTCAGCTATGAGAGAGGTGGAGATGAACAAGTGACAACGCCTTGGTCTGATGCTGCTGTACACACAGCAAGTAACGGGAATAATTATGGAGTGATGCCTTCAGGAAATGAGATCCCATGTAAGCAGCAGGCACTTCTGCTCTCACTGGTTGAAGCTCTCTTCTTCCCCACCTGTCAGCCCAGTCTCAGATATTAATCACAATTACCAAATCACAAAGACAAAACGACAAACCTTAATCCTCCCTTCGGAAATGGCTCGATTAATAGCCACGGCTATAGACACACGACCCCTCTGATCAGAATATAAGATTCTAGCTTGAGAGCCAACAACCTGGAAAACAAGAAGGCCAGAGTGATTGATAAGGTTCTCTGTGCAACTGGCTTATCTCAGGCCCCAGACGAATGGAGTCACAGGAGTGACCCCTTCCTTTGTGTAGGAGAAAGTGATGATTATCTCTTCATCAACATCCAGCTTCCAGAAAGACATTAAAATCCCTCTTTGTACCGAGTTTTATCTCCATTCACAAAATGAGATGTTTTTCTGTATTCAGCTGCTACTGTCCAATAAATCCCACTTTTTAAATCAACCTGATTGCTTGGCTATAATCCCCCTATCAACAAATCCCTTATCAACAGCTGAGAAGCAGAGGTTTGGAACTGGTAGTGGTAGGATGGAAGGGAAGAGAAATCCGGAGACAAAGAATGGCAAAGAACATCTGTCCTGCACAGCTATGCTCCTCTCTCCAGCTTTTACCCCACAGACCAATCTGGCTCCCAGATAAGGAGAGCACATGAGCCCTACAGTGTTATCTGTTAGCTTCACAGTGAAAGCCTGTCCTCAAAGGAAAACAAAGGATGCTTCAGTGGCATTCTGCTTCCCGCTGTACAAAAGGATGGCAGGTCTTTGGCCTCATCACCTGTTTTGTAAAGGGTACCAAGAACTACAGACATGAAGAGGCTGAGCCAAAGCAATGCCAAGAGGGACACTGTAAATAGCTCTCTGAAAGAACGGTAGTTACAAATGAGATGGAGAGTGAATCATTGGTGTGTTTCACTCCAGATATGAGACTAGGTATTGCTGGGTTATTTGAACATTTCCAGATGAGGAAGTGAAGGGAAAGAATTGCTTCAGCTCACCCTAAAACCCTGCTGTGGAGGGAAGTTTCAGTTATCAGTCCTGGGAGTTACAGGCAGTGATTTCATTCATGCCCATTCCT